GGAGGTTTGTGAGGAGGAACCAAAAAAAAAAAAAGAAAGAAAATCAGGCATACAATAATATTTAAATAAAGACTTACAGATGCTTACTCATCTACATGGTGGCTTGATGCAGATACGTACTCATCGACATGGTGGCTTGATGATTAAGAGTACGACTCGTGATGCCGACGACCAGGAAGTTGAGCAGAGAATTCAATTTTTACAGATGATGAGAGAGAGCTTATATTGTTGTAACAAAGTAACAAATCCTATAAAAGGGAGTGAGATATGCCCATAACAACAATAAACTCTCTACATACTTACAATACTCTATTGTTGTTTATCTTCTTCATAAATGTTATGACTTAAGCATCGGAGGCTCTACATCCGAAACCCCTCATGCGTTGAGTTTGTGCAGGTATCGAAGGTCATCAACCGATGAGGAAGGCAATCTAGGTCGAATTGAGCCGGTCCAAGGTTTTTTTATTTACCATTACCCAAATCATGTTAGTAAATCTATAATGTTGTAGATAATATAATCAATCCCTTAGAACATAATTATTTCCATTACAATATAGTAATTCAATAATAACTAAATTTCACTTAAGTATATGTATCTCATCCAAGATAATGTATATAAATTTTCAAGTCCATACTTGATCAATGAATAATTAAAACATATTTTATAATATAATTCCTTAAATTTGGCGTCTTTCAGATTCTTACATCCATATTAGATTGAGAAATTCATATATACACATTTTAATATCCAATATATCTAGATATTATTGGGATTAGGTAACAAATATATCAAAAGATCATGACAAAATCAAATCGAATTTATCCACACAAAAATACCCAAAGTTACACAAAGGTACAATTTGCAAAAATTTGCAGTGTAAAATATTAAAAAAAAAAAATCATATTTAGATTTTCGACCACGTAATTTTTTTTGAAATACAAATACAAAGATTCATATCATATGCAGAAATCATGATAAAATACAATTCCAATCATCTACAAAAAAATCTTCAAAGTTCAATATAGTGCAATTTGTTAAATTTTTCAGCACTGGACACATTAAAGTTAAAAATTCATAAGTGTGTTACTTATCAATTAAAGTTCAAAGTTTTACTGAATCATCCAAAACCAAAGACGAATCACATATACAAAATTCAGAATGAAACAAACTATTATTAATTTACAACAAATTTCAAATTTACTTAACAAATACTTGACAACACAACCACATCAATCAAATTCATACTTTTGTGATATTGAATATATTACCTAGAAAAGAGATTTTTTCTTTTCTTTTTTTTTTTCCCCAAAGCATACATCAATTATTGATTGTTACCGTGGTCATCCGTTATTTTGATGTCATCGATCCATCGTTTAGTGATTGTTATTGTGGTCATCTGTTGTTTAGATGTCATCGATCCAACTAGTTCATAAACTAGTCGTGTTGATAACGTGTTGTAATACAGACTGCCAATATGTAAGACAGA